TTACATGGGAAATCCGCCACGGATCATTTTCCATCTACGAGCAAGCTACACCCGCTTCGTTTCGTTTTCGCTTTAGACCTTCCATCTCTTTATCCTGAAATCCAGTGAGATATAGTACCGGTGTATTAATCAGGAACGCAGGGCAACCTGCTTTATGAGTCTTGAAGTATCGCGAAGAACAGAGAGAGAGAGAGAGGAGGCGCAGGGCGAAGACATCAATGTCAATAATAATTCATTGATTACTTAATTCATAGTTGCCATGACGACCGTCTCTCGCTTTTCCCTCGCCTCCAAGCTACTCTGTTTTTCTCGCTTCGACGAAGTAGAGTACATACTCCTTAAACTCATTTCACACGGAATCGAACGCATCAATTGTTTTCTCGTGCAATCCGAATAATTTATTAATTAAATCGTACGCGTTTTAATTTATGTTATCACGATTTCTATACTTTGCGATTGGCAAACCGGCTACAATTATCAAAATTTAATTATTGTTCTCGGCGTATTTTCAGAAACATCAAAGATTCCGTTGTGAGCGTCGCATTAGCCTTGCTTACGGGTTCGCAAGCAGGCAAGGAGAAACACGAAATGAATATTCAGAAGTTATTAGTCTGTAGTGAAATGTGACGGGGCTCACCCTTCTCGAAAACCACCCTGGCCTCCGTCGCCCACTCCTCCTTCTATCCTCCACCCCCCTCGTCCCACCTTTCAGGCCGCTATAGATTTTGCGATACATCCTGCGGAAATACTCGCGAGCGAGCAAGCAAGACACCCCGATCTACCACTACCGGTCGAAGAAGGGGTTGAAGCCTCGATGAAACGGCGGGGATGAAATCGTGAAAGATGAGGAGGTTGCGGGAGGTGGATGCGAATAGACCGGGACCGGCGGGGCGTGAGGGTGATGGGGCGAAAGGGGCTTTATGCATAAGCTAAGAAGCACCATTGACGGGCACCAAGGAGAGCGTGTTTATGTGTGTGTATACTTCGACTGTAGCAACATACTTGATAAACAAGACTTTGGTAACACCAACGTGACGTAACCCTGGCACGTATCCGGAAGTCACCAAGTATAATCATACGCATGGGGTGAAGGTGCGTTCTGATTAAAATCATCCGGAAGTATTTTACAGCTAACATTGATCTGATAATACGTTCGATGAAACTTATAATTTTACGCAAAGTAAAACTATTTGCGATAAATTCATAAAATTAATTATTATTGTCATTTGTTTTTTATGTTTCTCGAGTCTGTAACTAATAACATGTCTAGATGTAAAAGAAGTTTTTTTTATAAATACAATAAATATAGATTTAATCTGTAATCATGTAAAATTTAATTACATACAAAGTGAAAATAACTCACATGATTCGACGAAAATAATTGACGATTCTGATTCCAATAGAATCTGGCTATCTTACTCCTATCTCTTCGAGTTAGCTTGGAATCGACGAGGAAACAAATGTCGAGAAATAAACGCCGGTTTACGTTAGCCTCTTCATCTTCTCATGAAGTACCGCTCGCATACTCCGCGATGGAAATACGATCCACCGAAACATATAATACCAATGTGTCTCGGTAGTATATTGTCGAGGAAGCTCGCACGGACGGATAGAGATCTCCGACAATCGTGTAAACGTCTTTACGAACGGCACCGTCTTGAAAGCGCGTGTCGTGGCGCAGGCGATATTCAAATGGCATCAATTTCTGGGAAATTGCTCCCTATATCTACCCGCAACCTGGATGCAGGCCCTCCCTCTCGCGAGAAGGGGGAGCAGACCGTATTGGCAGATAGCTACAGCATCGTTTTACAACCCCTTATCTGGATAAGTTACGGGCATCCTATTCGGCGATTCTCTCCCGTCCGAAGTTACGTCGTCGAGGGTGTCATCGATTTCCATGAAAATCCCTGGTGTATGTGTAACTCCTACGCCGCGCCAGATTGCCGCGCTGTCTTATCGCGTGAGACAACTCTAACTCGATCAAAAAAACACCAACAAATCTTCACTGAATGTGATATCATTTTCGATTGCTTACCAATGTTGTAGATATTGCCCAGACATAATTTTTATTTGTAAAATCTTTTCAGAGTTTTCATTTTTATTTGTAATACCATTTATTATTGCAAAAATTATAATAAAATGGTACTTACGTAATAATGATACTTCTTCGATGAAGATAATCTTACGCTCGAATCTCGCGCGGCGTAATATCCAAAGTCGAAGAGTCAGTCAGTCAAGCTACGACAACAATCTCGGAGGAGCCCGTTCCTTCTTTCGCCTTTTGCCGCAGAAAAAACACCCGCGGGGCTCGGCAACTTTTTTTCATCAGCATTTTACGGTTATACCAGCGCATTAATAATGCACATGCTTAATATAAAGAGAGGCCCGCGAGTCTCCGTCTAATAAACTGGAAGAATGCTTTATAACCGTCCGCGGTTTTGGGCCGTGAGGGGTGAGCAACGGCGAGGTGGCGAAGGGTGCGCTGAAAGGCAAACTGAAG